ACTAAGACTAGCACGCAGAACCCATCGTTTAAGACACTATAATCTTTAAGTATATATTACAAGCACCTACTGCTAACATATTTGTTACCATGTTAAACAATTTGCATTTCTAAGATGTAAATTGTAGTAATAATCTAGGTGATACGTTTCTAAATTTATAAATGCATTTATAAATTCATCATTTGACTTATAAATAACACTAATTGAAATAATTCTAAATTAGGGTTAAAAAGGAATTTTCCCCTTAAGTGATATGGCGTCTTAAAGTGACAGCAGAAATTATAGTCATAGTTGATTGATACAATCAGCGGGGTAATTGAGGGTGAAATAAAAGGTTACATCGCAGCAGGATTTCAAAACGGCAATCTATGGATGACTAGGCCAAAAAGGAAAGTAATTACCAACATATAAAAGGATTTCAATCAAGTGAGGGTATAAAGTTAACTTTAAATGAAGTTTTATTTTAATGCATCCACCTATCCAAATACCCACCTCACCAAAAGAAAATTAATGTATTAACTTACTAAGCTACTAACAACACAGAGATTTCAGTAGTACATATAGGATGTCACCCCACACTGCTGAACAGAATCACTAAACTGAACTAAACAACCATCTTTGTACGATGGATAGTGTTGGTGATCGTTTGCATGATGTTGTTGGTTGTGGTGTCCAATGACCAATATGACAGGCAATATATTTTGGACCATCTAAGTAGTATTCTTTAGGACAAGAGAATATCATAACTGCGCCTTGTTGTAAAACAGTTGTAGGACTGCTGAAATCCATTAGTTTACCATCTATTGACACATTTGCTTTTAATGGTTCTTCTATGTCAATATGGGGACAATGCACTGAAATTAATGTAAACAAGAAATTAGATATGCAGAAACCCAGTTATTAAATAACATCACATTCGATAATGAACTGACATCATACATTTATTCTCCTTTATGGATTTGGATAAAGCATGGAGAACAGTCTGTACAGAATAAGACGGTAAGATGATTTATTTTGTTGAAGCATGCAATTGACGAAACGGCTTATTGTCGATGTGTCGTGACATATTTGTAGTGTGCAACAATGAAAGTCATGCTTCCTACCTACTAGGATTATTCAACGATGCATATCAAATTTACTACGGAACATGAAGATAATGGAAAGTCCCATTTCCTTGACACTGCCATGCAACGCCTGGAAGATGATTGAATACGTCACTAACCAGGACCTATCCTATAGCTAAGTTGGTTACCGTTTATTGGACAACATGCTCTCTGGTGCAATCAAAACTTGACAGATATCCTCCCCATGTTAACTCTAACTGTGTATACAGATTTACATGTATCTGTGGGAGCAGCTGCATTTAAAAAAGAAAGAAGGGCACACCTCCAATTTTATGAACATGTACCAAAAAGCGCAGGTATCAAGGGAACAAACGCCTTCAATAGTGCCACTGTCAGACATCTCCTTTACACGGGTCATGAGGTGGACATTGTTAGATCCTTCAAAATTATCATTAGACAAAAGAGAACTCAATTATCCTCAAGTTTACCGAAGCAGTCTCTATCAAACGTTTAAAACCCGATTTTCGTGTTCAGAAAGAAGCAGTTTTCAGTCTTTCTTTTCCCTGGCAACTGACTGGATGTCTCTGTTGTCTCTTTCATTTGATTATGTAACGCTGAAAATCCCATTCTGTATGACTGTTATTGTCTGGAATAAAGTGATAATTAGTATCATTATTACCATTTTATGCATACACAGATTTGTTTTGATTGGACACTAACTAATGTCATGTGTCTAGTCCTTTTATTTACTGCAGACTGAATTCTATCAATCAAGTTTGCAATGTGGCCACCATGTTAGGTGGTTCGCCATCACGATACACTCAGGATTGTTGTTATTTAATGGTTGGTGGCAGTTGGCAGGAAGCCTTGAACCTAGGTTGCGTGCCTGTCAGTAGGATCCGAGTTATTGAACTGATTCGACTTTCTCAGCATAGTCGAATCGAGTACACAGCTGCTGAGCTCGACTCAAAAAAACAAACGAAACTGCTAAACGGTTTTTTAGATCACCACAGTCTGACTAGTAGCATTACTGTTTGACATGAGTGGCATCCTGCTACTCATATTAATCGACCAACAGTATACACCATTTTACTTCATGCATCAATATGCCGAATAGTGCGAGTATCAGGCAGTTACCAACATGATTTCAAGAGATGTGTTGGTCATCGGTATGTATGATGAGCCGACTGATAAGAAAGTTGGTGTTTGAGACATGTTCAGAAAAGTCATCAGAATCCTTCTGAACAAGTTGAATCTATTTTCCCAATCCTTCTATACTATTAAGAAGTTATTGTCATTTAAGTTAACCTACCGATCTGCTTACTTCACCCTTAAGTGATCTTATTTGTAATCGATTTCAATAAACTGATCACTCATTTATCCCTCTTTTTTGAATCATGCAATATACGACCACTTATTTAATTTTTGTGAATATTACTACCCTATAATTTGAGTTTGCTTGTAGGGATTTGGTGCCCACTTTTGACTGAATGCAGGGTGAAGTTGCTTGGAGTATTAGGAAGTAGTCGTGGCAGGTAGGTTTCACCAGGTCGGGTGTGAGGAGAAATGCTCGTCGATAATGCAGGCTGCTGGTCGCTTCAAAATCACTAATTGGTTGAAGTTAGAATTCATGAGCTATGTGATTCCCGATAGCTGAGTAGTCTGACAGCTTATCCTGTAATTGGAAGGTCCTGGGTTTGAATCCTATGGGTGCATACCGCGTTTGAGTCACGGAGTAGTACTGAACAGCTGTCCTGTACTACCGGCTGGTTTGCAATGGTTCTTCAATTTATATCAATCTCTGACTAAATTTGATGCCTTTTAAATGTTGAACTATTTTCTTCGATTAATTATTGTCCCTTTCCATTTGACATGTTCGTATTGATCAATTATTGTTAACAAACTTATCGCCTCTAGATTGGTATTGTGTTAAAATCAATACTTATATTAGAATAGAGCTACAGACAAAGATCTAATTGAGAAGTAACTACTTCTCTGCGCAGTTTGTTATTGTTGACTCCCCATTAGTGAATTACACAGCAATAAGAGAAAGAAGGGAACTTCTGTCCAGGATATTTTAGAATCATTTTCTTCAACTTACTTGGTTCAAATTTTAACGGTGCTCCAACCCATTCACCATATAAACAACGTAAAATACCACTTTGTGCATCATTCATCTTTGTGTGTCCAATTGGCTGGATGTCATTGTAGTCATTTCGCATTACGTAGCCAGGAAATGCTTCATATCTTGCAATAGAATTATGCTGTAGACTATAAAATCTTGCTCGTGCACCTGGATATACAGGCGGTTGCCTTCTACATGGAGCTTTTAAGAGAAAAAGTAAACATTATTCATTTGGACATGAAACATAAAATATAAATTGGGTTCAAACCATGTAGTTGAGTGGTCAGTTTGTTTAACTAACAACCAACAAGTCCTGGATGCGACTCTTGATGGTTTCGTAGTTAAGTATTGCCCAGTACCTCGAGGTTTCCAATGATTCTCTAAATGGTATCAGTTCGTAACGAAATCCACATCCACACCAATGTTGTCCCTGGTGATTCTTGAAAACTACACCCTCTATCCTTTAATCAGTTAATTAAACCTCCACAAAAGATATGTAGATGATACTTTTATGATTTGTGGCGAAAAATTTGATCTAGATAATCTTTTCACCACTTTTAATGCAGCCCAACCTTCAGCAAAGTTCACCTTAGAACGTGATTCTAACATGACTTTACCATTCCTGGATGTTTTACTAACTAGAGGAAAAGAATATTCGATCGAAAGATCAATATATCGAAAAGCAAAATAGACTGGGCAGTTTATTAACTTTCAGAGATTCATCCCACTGGTCCAAAAACAAGACTCAGCACGTACCTTATGCTTAAGGACTCAAAAAATCTGTTGAGATGAGAAGAAGATGGAGAGTAGATTAAAATGTCAATGTGACACCGTATTTGAAAGGGAATAGCCTTCATCGCCGAAAATTGGAACTCTTCCTATGACAACTCTCTTCATGAACCTAGAGTTCATAGTTGGCACTGAGGCGGAAATTCGTAAAAATCGCCCTTCCGAATGTTTGAAGAAGACATTTTAGTTACCCATCTTATGAATCACCTTTTCCAACGGACAATTCATTCATTCAAGCGTTGAGTATGAGGTAACCCTTTTGGTCGCCTTAATGTGTATTTATCAATTTACTTGTTCCTGTGGAGCAAATCATATCGGGTGTACATTTTATTACAAATGTTACTATCATGTTAACAACCGTTTTGACTTCTACCGACTTGATGTTTCTGTGCTTGTTTTTCTTCTTTTCTCTAAATCGTTATAATACTTGTAATTTTTAGAACCCTTACATAATCCCATATTTTCCTTTGTTTCTATGTGCATCCTAGTCACAACTCACTCATTAGACTATTCATCTTATTACGTAACTGTATTACGCTTATTCAACTTCGTTTACGTGTTGACAAACATTAATAACTTTGTTTTGTGACAACGCATCACCACTACCCTCCTACCAGTCCTCACCACCATCCTAGTTACAATTTGATTATTTATCACAAATTTTTGAAATATCTTGACAACTCTAACCCTAACTAATTTTTATTCTTATCGGACGAACCTAATCTACACACACACACAAACACACAAATAAGTATCTATAATTGCGATTATAAAGCTAGCCAAGTGAATGAATTCGCAACCGGAAAGAGATTGTTCGCTGAACTACGTGTTTTGTTTTTATTAATGTCTGGATGGGGATTATTCATGAATTCTCCATTCATTTGAAAAACTAAATTTCCATCTGTTTTGGCGATCACTAGTGTTTCCTCTTTGCTGATGTACAAATCTGTCTCCCATCAAGTGTTGACCTAGGTGGCTTTAGTCTTCAATTGTTTGAGTTAAGAAACATTGTTAATGGTTTGGATATTTAGCTTCCATCAAGTAATTTTGTGACACATCAAGTAAAGATGATATCGAGTAGACTTTCTGTAGATTATATAAGTATTATTCCGTTGGGTTCCAGGTGGAACATAAGGCTTCAACGTGATATCCCCATTTTGTTTCGTTCTCTGCAGTCCTATTTAGCCTGTCTCACGATTGCCCATAATCTGTCATCTCCTTCTCACACGATCTCCTCCATGTTATCTTCGGACACACATCCAGCTGGTCGTTTCACATTTGGATTTCACCAGAGTGACAGTCTAGTGCGTGATTTCATCTGAAGGTCTTCTGAGTGTGTGTCCTAACTATCCAACTCCATTTTCTGGCACATATTTGCCGGGTCATAGGTTCTTCATTGGTTCATTCCTAGAGTTTCTTGTTGTTAATTCTTTCTGGTCAGCCATCTGATCTTCATTACGAAGCCCGTTGTCAATGAAGGTCTCCAGTAGGTTGTTAGAAATGGTTTTTGTGATGCGTGAGCCATGTTTCTGACCCCTTTAGAAGCACTAACTGACTTCACATTGGTGTTGAAAATTTAAACATTAAACATTTCTGTTTTTTACTTACCTGGTGCACATTTACTTCGTACACTCCAGACACCATTTTGACATACAGTGAGTGGTTGATTCGGTTTAATTAAAGCATATCCAACTTGACAGGTGACATTTAATTCTGAACCATGTCTAACTTTTCCACCAGGTAGAATAATTCTACCCGACATTTCATTGACCAGTCGTCTATGCTCACCATCATCACCAACATCATCATCTTCGTTACCGAATTCTGCAGTAGTAATCTGTATGAACTGTTTATCCCCTTTAGATCTTCGATGAATTAAAAAAACATCACCATGTTCAACTGTAAATAGATAACAATGTCGATGACATTGTGGAAATGGTTGAGGATTCCATACAGTGACTGTACCATTCACTCCACATATAATCTCATCAGTTTCAATTGATAGCGTCGTATCGTCTTCACATCTGATTTGTACAGAAAATAGAATGCAAACATATTATTATTGTTCCCTTGGGTTCCTAGTGGAACATAGGGCTTCAACTGCACGCCTCCACTTGCTTCTGTCTTGTGCTGTACTTTTCACTTGCATCCATGTTAATCCATACTGTTTCAGTTCCTCATCACACGATCTCCTCCATGTCACCCTTGGACGTCCCACTCGCCGCTTCCCTTTCGGGTTCCACTCGAGGGCCTGACGCGCGATGTCACCCAACGGCCTCCTCAGCGAGTGTCCAATCCATCTCCACTTTCTCCTGCATATTTGTTGGGCGATTGGTTCCTGTTTTGTTTGTTCCCATAGCTTCTTGTTTGTGATTCTTTCCGGCCATCTAATCTTCAGTATGGAACGAAGACAGTTGTTGATAAAGGTCTGCAGCCTGTTGAAAATATTCTTGGTGACCCGCCAAGTTTCTGATCCGTATAGCAAAACTGACTTGACGTTTGTATTGAAAATCCGTATTTTGTTGTTGATGCTGAGTGACGAAGATTTCCAGATTGGTTTCAGGTTGATGAATGTGTTTCTCGCCTTCCCGATTCTCGATTTGACATCCTCGTCCGTTCCTCCTGTGGTTGAGACAATGCTCCCAAGATAAGTGAAAGAAGTAACCTCTTTCAAATCCTTCCCGTTGATGGTGATTGGCGCTGGATGTTGCTGTTGTTGTTGGTTGGTTATTTTCATAACCTCCGTCTTGTCTATGTTCACCTGGAGTCCTGTCTTTGCTGCTTCTTCGACCAGTTTGTCGGTTTTTGCTTGTAAGTCTTCGATTTTGTGTGACATCAAACATAAATCATCCACGCGCGAAATACAGGTCTTCTAGGTTCTTCACGTCGGTCCAGGATATCCCTGTCTTCTCGTTTCCCACTGTCTGACGCATAATCCAGTCCACCACAATTAGGAATATCATTGGTGATAATAAGCACCCTTGTCTGACTCCTGTGTTTACTCCAAACGCCTCGCTGAGTTTTCCGTTGTGGATCACTTGACATGTGCCGTTGTCGTACAGCTGTTGAATAAGGTTGATGAATATTTGGGGTACGCCGTAGTACTCGAGTAGTTTCCAAATTACTTCGCGGTCAACGCTGTCGAAGGCCTTCTCAAAGTCTATAAAGTTGAGGTAGAGATTTGATTGCCATTCCATGCTTTGTTCGATGATAATGCGTAGAGTTGCAATTTGGTCAGAACATGATTTGCCTTTCCTGAATCCAGCTTGTTCTGGTCGGAGTTCTGTATCCAGTGCGTCCTTTATTCTCTCCAGGATGATGCGACTCAGGATTTTACTTGGCGTCGACAGGAGCATGATTCCTCGCCAGTTCTTGCAGAGTCCTAGGTCGCCCTTCTTTGGTAGTTTCACCAGGTAACCTTTCTTCCAGTCAGTAGGCACCTTTCCCTCTTTCCAGATCTTTTGCAATAATGGAGTCAGCATATCTGCTGTCGTCTCTGGGTCCGCTTTCAGTGCTTCAGGGGGTATTCCATCTGGTCCAGCTGCTTTTCCAGCTTTCAGAAGCTTGATTGCATTCATGACTTCAGCTTTCGTTGGAGGATTGGTGTCAACTTGCAGTTGTGTACGTGCTGTTGTTGGTATTTCTGGACGGGTTGCAGGTGGTGGTCTGTTCAAGAGTCCTTTGAAGTGGTCCGCCCATTGTTTAATCTGTCTTTCTTCTTTGGTAATTGGGTTCCCTTGGCTGTCTTTTATAGGTTTCACTTGTGTTGATCTCTTCCCGGATAGAGACTTGGTTATCTGATATAGTGTCCTTAGGTCCCTTTTGCCTGCTGCATTCTCAGCTTCAGTAGCCAGATTGTCGTAGAATTGTCTTTTGTCCTTCCTGGCACTCTTCTTCACTTCTTTGTCCAGTGCTGTGTAAGTTGAGCTCAGCGTCTCTTTCTCTCGTCCGTCTTTGCATTGAATCATTTTCTCTTTCACCATTCTCCTCTCCTCTATTAGCTTCCAAGTGTCCGTTGAGAGCCATTCCTTGTCTTGTTTCTTCTTTCTTCCTAAAACCGTTGAACACGTTTCGTTGAAAATCACCTTCAGAGAGTTCCAATGGTCTTCCACGGATGATTCCTCAGTGGTGTCACGTAGTGTTTCCTGCTTTGCTATGACCGTTGCAGTGAAAATGTCCTGTGTGATTGTGTCCTTCAGTTTTTGCGTGTTGAACTTGCATTGTGGCCTATCCCCAGCTATCCTCGATGCTTTCAGCTTCACCTTGAAAGTCCCTTGTACTAGATAGTGGTCTGAACCCACATCTGCTCCTCTCCTCGATCTTGTGTCCAGTAGGCTCCGTCTCCACTTCCTTCAGATTGAAATGAAGTCTATCTGGTTTTTGGTGTGTCCATCTGGTGAGATCCATGTTGCCTTGTGTATATCCCTGTGTTTGAACACACTGCCACCAATCACCAAGTCATTGAAGGCGCAGAAGTCTGAGAAGAGTTCACCATTTTCGTTCCTTTCACCGAGGGCCTCACGACCCATGGTGAGTTCTCTTCCTGTATTGTCTCCTCCCAGTTTTGCATTCATGTCACCCATCAGGATTTTGATATCGCTTTTTGGGACGTTGTCCATTACTGCTTGTAGTTGACTGTAAAAATCCTCCTTCTTCTTTTTTTCTGAGACGTTTGTAGGCGCGTAGCACTGAATGATTGTAACCTTTTTCCTTTTGAGTTGAACCTGGCTGTCATTATCCTGGAGGAGATTGGTTCCCACTGCATGAGAGCTTTAGCCGCTGTTGGTGACATCATGATGGCTACTCCCTCGGTGTGCTCGTGATCGTCCTCTGGGTGACCGGAGTAGATTATTGTCTCTCCAGTTGGTAGTTGGCACCTTCCGCATCCGTTCCATCTGCTCTCGCAGATTCCCAGCACTTCTATTTTATATCTCCTCATTTCTGCGGCTACCTGAGCAGCCTTTCCAGTTTCGTACATTGTACAAATATTCCACGTCCCCATCCTTATTTTTGCTTTCATCGAAAGAAGGCACATCGGCTGACTGGCTTCCCGAAGGCTTTCACCAGCCTGCGTCATTTCACTTCCCCGATTCCAGCGAGAAATAAGGTCACTATTTGTAATTTTAGAATTTTGAATATATTTGTGCGTTGAAGTTTTAGTAGCAATTTGGTTAAGTTTTGGGGGTGGAGTTGCTAGCACCACGCCCCAACCCTCCCTCTTTATCCGGGCTTGGGACCGGCTAGAATACTAGAGACCTAGTAATCTAGGCGAAAATAAAATTCAAACATAATTTGTTGTTAATTGAGATAAAAGTTAACTTTCAAATTATGGGTGGCTTTTAACCTCACTGTCAGTATACAAAGCAAACATTCTGTGTTAAATACTTCAAGGCAGATACAAGACATAATCAACTAAGCTAAGTGTTAAAATTTCGATGCATGCCTTTTAAAACGCACTGGAATATAAGATGTTATAAGTAGGATTAAGGAATACTGAAGAATTGCAGAATGTTTACTTCAGATAATAAAAAACATTAAAAAGAGGATTATAGTAAGGAGAATTTTCTTTTCAATGAAGTTGTCAACTAGACTGGATACTTGTGTGTATGTATAGTAAATGGGTTAGGAGGTTTCAGAACTATTTCCAATCAAGGGCTAAATTTGCAAGACTACAAACAGGGATATAAACACATCAATAGAAAAAATAAACAGGAAGTTAAGGTAAGAAACGTAGTAGGATAATCAAAATTGACAGAAGGGACTGTTTATGATACATGGCCATGGTAGAAACAACGATTGGACGTAGTTCTTTTAAATACTGTTGGCTTGAGCGTTTAGACCACCAGTGCCTTAGCTGCGCCTAGATGCCTTAATCTCACTCCTTTTGAGAGGTTTGACGGGATCTTGTATATGACTTGGAAATCTTTTCAAATGGAGCCGAATATCCTGAATTCACTAGATGTTCTGTTAACGAACCATATACACACGTTCATTCTCCTTTTGCTACTCTGCCTACGTAATATTCCCCAGACCATTTTACAAGCGGACTCATGGTACTGCCAATGTATGTAGTTCTACCAGAGAAAGAAAACTGGTACATGAATCTCGAATTGGCCCTATGCGAAAGCTTGTCTTTCAAGTACTGGTTGAATAGTTTCTTGCAAGGTGTTGTTACTCGTTAAATTCGAGACTAAGCAGAGAGATCATTCTGCAACTGTTTAGGAGCTTTATTTGGTTTTAGGTTCTTGTCGTTGAATATTGATTACCGGTAAGTCCTTGATAACTGTTTCGTTTTGGTGTGGAGCTCTTCAACGACTCAAAGTTTCAGTTCATAAGGATTTCGACTGTTTGGAGTGTAGACTTCGTCAAGAGCTGATGTAAATTAAGAGATCGTTCAGACCAGAAGGAACTGGGTAGTTGTTTCACTCCGGTTTAGATTCTCCAGCAGTGCTCGCCAATGACCAAACCATGGAGCTAACTGAGATCATTCAGGTTACGAGCTGAACACATTTATCAATCAGCCACACTGTTTGGGTCCAAAAGCACATGAGGTCTGACTATTGTTTACTCACCATACGATGCAGTGTCTATCAGATGTCGTAGATGAGTATCTATCATCTATCATGGTGAGGCATATTAACCACAGTGTTTTCAACGATTGAACTAAGGCATGCTGCAATACGAGGCGAGAGATGTATCAGTGAATCCAGTATCCCAATGACTTCTAGTTTCTGCTTCTCTCCCCTGCAATCCAAACTGAGTACTCAACATCCGTAAGCGTCTATTGATGACCTATCAAGTGAATCATAGTCTTTCAAGGACATTATGAAGTCAATCGTGCGCAAAAATTGTTTTTTATTTAACTCCTTTTTTTTCTAATGAGGTCAAAGGTGAATGAAACATAAATTATGCTTTTTCCTAAATATTCTGTCCAATGCATATTGAATAATATTGTTTTCAAATTTCTCAATAAACTTAGGCAACCAAGGAAACTTTTGCTTCACCCCAAGTTTTCATCCTCAAAATTTACTGTTATTCGTGTTAAATAAGTTGAAAATATGGATAAAGTGATTCATTTCTCATCTTATTTGTCCCTTGGGTTCCATGCAGAGGATAAAGTTTCAGTAGGATATCTCCACTTTACTTTATCCTCTGCAGTCCTTTTCTAAACTGCTTTCACAATTACCCATAACCTTCCATTCCTTGGTCACGCAAAGAGGAAATTATCAGTCTATGTAAGGAATATTCATTTGAGTATCATTTTTCAAGTGAAAAGTGTTCAATGTTACATATATGTCAGGCAACAAGTTTCTCAAGTTGACAATTTAAATTTTTCTTGAATAACTTTAATTCAATCAAGGATAAGAAAAAGGTTGATCAAATTTCAACGATTATTTTGAAGGATGTGACAAAAATATGGCTTATCTAGTGTTAAAATGACTGAAAAGATAACAGCATGGTAAATATTGCTAACTGATACAAATAGTTTGAAATCTATGTGTTAGGAATTTGACTCTATTTTTTTACCAGTTCAGCTAATTAGCTAGCCAGAATTGAAATGGTTTCAACTGATTCGACCATCTCAGCTAACTCTTTTCAAGTGTTATGGGGGTCCTGTGTTAAGACCACTTCTATTTTGCTAGCGATCACGTGACTGCTGCCTTCAGTTACTTAAATTAACCAGTAGTATATACAGTTTTGCATATTTTCATGATTCATATGACTTCCATTTTCGATATCAAACAGATCAATTATTTCGAAGACATGGAAAGATTAGCTGTGTTCGATCATAGGTGTCTGCATTCTATCTCCTGTGTGAAGTGGTATAATAAGGTCAGCAATATTGAGGTTAGGCGTCGAGTGCTTGGTAAGGAGGGGAAATCAGTCGAAGAGACTGTGAAATTACATCGACTGAGATGGCTAGGACATGTGTCACGTATGCCTAGTCATCGCCTTCCTCGACAATGGGCAATGTTAGCTGATATAGAGACAGGCTGGAAAAGAGCTAGCGGCGGTCAAACGAAAACATGGCACCAGTCAATGAAATCCACAACATTTAGTCTAAGCCAGCCATCTAGGAAGGTGTAGACTTCTGTCTGGTTGGGGTCCTCGGGACGGTAAAAACCAATGGTTGGAAACAATTGGTGACATGGCTCAAAATCGTTCTCAATGGCTAGCGCAGATGCATCCACTCCTTGTGACTTATGATTCCCAATCAAACTGTTTTGTTCTCCGTTATTACAACTCCTTTGTCTCACAACTTTGTTTACTGTCTATATTATGCATTTCTCCTACTTTCTTCTCCTGCTTTGTGTGCTACAAGGAAGGAGTGTGGCGACTTGAACTGCCGCACATATGTGCTAAGTTCTATGTCGAAAACCGACCTACCGACCGATTTTGATTTGAAAACTTCCAGTTTCAAAAGGGAACCATAATGAATTTTCCACTTAAAATGTGTTTTTTGCAAGTGACGAATTCAACTGACAAGATAATGTGGATGAAATGACTTATTCTTTACGTTTTAGTTGTGAAGTGGGAAATTGTGAAGTTGCGTGTCTACTGGTCACTGGTCTATCCTTAAACTGGATATAGGCCTCATTGATAGATTGTAAGGCTTAAAAAATTCCGCTACAAAGTCAAACAATAGTGCCACTTAGCATTCAATAATAAAACGGACATAAGTTGGACTGACAAAAAGACCCTATTAGATTTGGATTTCGCAGATGACCTATGTCTCATTTTATACGAACGAGAAACGACTTCAGGTGGTCATAAAAGAAGTAGGATTGTCGGAAACGCCCGAATACTAACAACCGTCACCAGTTACTGTCAGTGGGAGACATCTAAGGGGAACTGTCCCTTTCACTTAAATGAGCAGCCTCATTCCAGCTGCAGGCAGAACAGATGAGGAAATCAATACCATTTAGGATCGGAAGATTAATCCATGCGTTAATTAGTCTTAAATCAGTTTGGGGATTCAAAGTACTTAGCACAATGAACGACATCAGAATTTTCAACACTAATATCAAGTCAAAACCTGCTATATGGTTCAGTGAAATTATTTCCAACAGACTACAAAAATCCATCAACAGAAACCTTCTCATGATATTAAAGATCAGGCAGTCTATCAGGGAAGATAAACGCCTAGGAACTCTTCAGTGAACCAGCCAACACCCTATTACTGGAAAAGTGTTCAGAAGGAAACGGAGATGGATTGAACATACTCTGAAGAGATCTTCAAGTGAAATCCCATGCAAAGTCCTTAAGTAGAACCCTAATGAGAAGTTACGGGTTGGACACCTGGTAATGATGTGGTAAAGATGATGTGAAAGGGAAAAACAAAGCTTGTCAGCAATCGTAGAGTGATCTGAGAATGACAGCTGCGGACAGAGAATGATAGTGATATGCCGTATGTTCCAGTCGAAACTCAAGGGACAAATAAAAATAATCATGAGAGTTACATTTGCCTGATTAATTAGATGTTGCACACAGCTTAACAGGATTTTATTAAAGAGCAGATTAAAATTTATTATTATTATCTCCTTTAGTTCCTATAAGAAAATAGGGCTTCAGCCACAGTTCTCCATTGCGTCCGATTCTCCGCCAACGTTTTCACCTGGCTGCACGTCTCCCAACATGCTTTCATCTCCTCTTCACATGACGTCCTCCATGTCAACCTCGCACTGACGGTAGACTCGAAACTTAACATTCGGGTTCCACTCGAGAGATGGCCTGGGGTGTGATGTCACTTGATGGTTTTCTCAGAATATGGCCAGTCCACCTCCATTTATTCCTGCGTATTTATTGCACACCTGGTTCCTGCTGGGTTGGTTCGCTTCCAGAGATCCCTGTTGCTGATCTTTTCTGACCGGCCATGTGATCTTTAGCAGTATTGAGCGAAAACAGCTATTGATGAAGGTGTGTAGTTTGTTCAAATTGCACTTTGTGACACGCTAAGCAGATTAAAAAGTAACATGCTATTCATTGCAAAACTACTTAAGATAATCCCATTTTGCTTAGAAAATGAAAACAAGATTTTTTCTGAAAGTGTGACTGTGTAATTCTCAGCTTCTTCAGCAGAATTACCTGTAATTATTATTATATGAGTTTTTGTATTTGCCAGTGAATGAAAAAACAAGACCACATTGTTTTTACTGACATTTCTCTACTTAGTGCTGCTAATAGCTCTATCAAAGTATAAGAATTACCCATATTTTACAAAATCTTGTTTCGATTTTCGAAACAAACTGTGATTATTAGTTGAAACAATTTTATGACGATTCAGTTTGAATTGGTGCTCAAATTATTCCAGGAAATTTGCTAGATAAATGACCTTAATACTTATAACACTCTATTTTCTCTCTCTCTTTCTCTGTGTTCTTACTGAGAATTAATATTTATTAATTAAACCAAACTTACATAATTCTTCCTTTACTGCCATATGTTGTTGTTATATAGGATACTTCACCATTTTGTATTTGAGGTGGTGGACCACAGTCTCTTTCTTTAATAAAAAAAGAAGTAAAATTAAAATTATTAAGTATCTAAATACATTTAAACAATGAACATTGCTAACAAATATATTATAACTCAACATTAAAAATTTGCCGAACTACTCCATAACAGAATATTTAGCATTCTTGAAGTTGTTGAAGCTGTCTGAGTTAGTCTTCGTTTGTAAGACTGTCACCTGTGTACTGTGTGATGATTGAATATAGAATGAAAATCTAAACCACAGCAGTACTTGAACCAGAAGCCTCCGAACTACCTGTCCAATGACCATCAACCTATCGAGACCTGAATGTTAACCATGTATTATAGTAATTTTCCTGAAGAAGTTATTTGGAAGGAAGTTGTCGTTCTAGGCTAATGTGTTGCTCCGTTTTTACCAGTTAAGCGTGTTTATGGCACTAAGGGAAATCAAGCATACTAACAGATTCAAATTTGCATACAAGAGAACGAATTCCTGTAACTTCTGACACTTTATTGTAAGTATATCAAAGTTTATTAGGCGCACTACCTGACTGGTAAATTAAATGCCAATGAAGACACACTCAAAGTTAGAGAACCACTCTATTGACTATCCTGCGTAGATTTGTAAGTGAAACATCCGAATCATACTCATAAACTGTCATACTCTACTCAAATTAATAATCAGATAACTCTAGAAGAAAAAATGTGGAGAAGTGTCACCTTAGCATTAGTTCAGAGAACAATACTATCATATTTTGTTAATTTGACAGGATACACAGCGAAATATTAATATTTACACTAGAGAATGTCCTCCTGTAGAACGTTTTGTTCAAACTTATACTGATTTCATTTAACTGTCATAGGACTTATCAGTTGTCGTCTTGTTTTATTCTTTTGTTCGGATATGCCTACTGATTCCCGTGGACTGTTGTACTGTGCTGTCTTAAACGCGTGTGCATATAAACGAAGCAAGAAAGTCCTGTGAGTACCTTAATATGATTATGAGCAATACATTGTGTTCGAGAAGTTGTCATCAGTAAATATTATTGTATAACGCTGCGTGACTTTATCAAAATATGATTTTATCCATAATAGAATTATACTCTAACACAGTGCCCAAGTTTTATCCCCACAGTATATTGTGTCATTTGATATCAGAGGATCGCACGGTCTGAATAGTTTCCCTTTGAGTTATTTTTGTAGCCCTATATGCTATACTAAATTGGAAGAAGGGCTAGTTAACGTCTACTGAAATTTATTCAGGGAAGTGAAGGTATTTTAATTATCAAAAAGCTACACAAATTGATTTATACTGCGACATTTACTACTTACATTGACGGATATGAGTAGTGCATGGTGTGATATATATTCCAGTAAAGGAAATATATAAATCAGTTATGTGAAGAAGGGCAAATAAGCTACTGATAATAAAGAATAAAGTATTTGTATTTCAAATAAGTAATGACTGGTATTATCCAGAAAGAGTAGAAATGAATGGACAATTTGTTTTTTTAATCATTCATATATTGTTAGAGTAGAGTTTGAGCACTGCGATTGGATGGATATAATTTCGTGTTAGATAAGTTTATTCGATAAAACACGCAGTGACCAGTATGGTATTAATCACTACATGACATCTCGGACACAATTTATCGCCCACAATCATTTCTATGTATTCGCACAACTTTCTGACTTGCTTAGTATAACCTTAATCCATGATGCTTCTTTATTGGAATTTTCCATATATCATGGACAGATGTTGCATTATTTCGACTGCTGATGTTGATTTGACGAATACGGATTCGGTGGTTAGTCTCTTTCTCTTCCTCTATCTGTCCACATAACTGTATCACTTTTTAGTATTTTTACCCTAACCCTTCCTATTGTATGACTGCTTGTAAATGAATGCATTAGAATGGCTGAGTTTTTTCTAGATTACTTAGTGGGGTCACAGTCATTGGATGATATTTGGTAAATCCAATTATTTTCCGTAATTGAATCTGTTGGGTCCATAAACCAACAAAGTTTGCCTCTGGGTGAATTGGTTGATTTAAATACCACCTTAATTCTAGGTTTAATAAAAATTCTAATTAGGACGTCTGATGTTCTTTCTTTGCATTAAAGTTCTATCGAGGTTTTGAATTCTTTACTATTTATATCATTGTCACTTTACACATAATCATAAACTCCATGTAAGTCTTCATTGATTTTGGAATCAGCTCTAATGGGTAGTTCTATAGCTGAAATACGTCTCAATTATTTGTTTGACTTCACTATTTATATTTTCTGACTCACTCATCAAACTCTTGGGTAGATTATGCAAATATTTACCCAGTCTATCCTTAATGAATATTTCCTTTGATTGGGCATTAGCTAGTGTCATGCATCTAGTCCTCCTCTGTAATCTCTCAGTGATGTTTGCAATATGGCCGCTATGCTTGGTAGCTTGACATAATGGTTCACTCAAAAATGTTCTTATGAGAGGGTTGGAAGCAATTGTCATTCACCAGTAGTCAGTAAGCCGTATCTGTGAGCTTGGAGGGACTCAGGACCCTTCTGAGGTTCAAACCGGTATAACTCAGTGCTGCAGTCACAGATGTTACAATTGAACTGTTATATCCCGTACAGTGTTAGCTGTAATCAGAGATTATATAAAGTGAATTCAGACATTTTTTTAAAGGATACTTAATTGACTATAAAAAGTCATTAAGAGATGAAACAGTCGTGTGATTTTTTATGCAGTCAAGTCATCATCATCATCCCTCTGTTGGACAAAGAAATACTGACTTACTTTTACAATATGGTTCTTGTCCACTCCATTTCCCATTAAGCTGACATACACGATGATGTGAACCGTGAAGTTCATAGCCATCATCACATTCAGAAATATGCGTTCCATTGACAGTCAATGAGCTAACTGTATGTTTTCCGTTTAAAATTGACTGAGGTTCTGGACATGTGATAACTATGTAAAGGAAAAAAAATTAGAAATTCTCCAGGCCATAAGTAAAAAGAATAATAATAACAATAACATTGATCCCAGTCACTCGACTCTTCATGTTGCTTACCTGACGATTCGAGTCTATATACGGAGTGTTAAAAAATTCAGTGGTCTTCTGAAATGTCATCTTTAAACGACCTTTATTTTGAATGCATGAAATAGTAAAAAAGGCTGTAGTGTTGAACAACCAGAATGAACTACAATAAATTATTAGATTTCATGCTTTTTGAGTGGATGGCGGATATCGGGTGAAGGTCAAAACAGTCTTTCAACTACTCGTGTTAAACGTAGAAAGACGGTTAGTGATGTTGAGATTAGACTTGGTGACACAAAAGTTAAACGAACTGATAATCTGGTTGATAATGTCTGACTTGTGCTGTTGCACCCAAGAAGTCACTTTCTTTTTCACGACCAGTGTTAAATGAAAAATCTTCAGCTGCCTGTTTAAAACTTGGGCTACCAAAAGAAACCTCCGTCATTATATTGCATATAATTTCTCTCGTTCGGTTTACTTTAATTTATCAAAATATGACCTCTAATGGTGCTTTCTACCCTAATAAATATTTCACCAGGTTGAAAAATGCAGAATCGCGATTGGAAACGTATACCGATACAAGAGGTAACTGTCCATAACGTTTTTAGTACAAACTGCCACTGCCTGGGTAGTACAAGACCACCTGCGATCTCCAACTATTCATTTATTTGCTTGGATTTCAAATTGTACTTCTTCCTCTTTTTTAAGTGGTTTTCAACCAAACATCCTGCATTTCTCGAAGGAGAGGAAGAATAAGAAATATCATTAGGGGTTGGTTTGCGTTTCAGATCAGACAGCATTGTGTCATGTGATCTACTGTCGGTTACTATTCTACTTGAAGATCCTAGACAAAAGAAACTACTATGCAATGATTTCGGCTGAATATTCTGTACCTTATGCAATCGCTGTTCAGAATAAAGTCGTTATTACGATAAGAGTTAGTGACAGTTATACTGAATAGTTGAATTTTGCTTTGAGCCACGTAGGGAGATGCAGACTGTATAACACTAGTCATCATGCTGTTAAAGGCTATGGATTGAAGAAATTCAAATATATATGGTTGACTACCCGGGTCATATTTCTTCGGCAATCTACAATCTGATGAAGAGTCCCAAAATAGGACGAAACAGCTGTCCAGTACTCCCACATTTTCCAATGATTCTTTAACTAATGTTTGCTCATGATGAAATCCAGTAACCAATCAACCAAATCGCTACAAACCAATACTTGAATAACAAATTCTTTATTTTCCACACATCCCCTTCCACTTCATTCAATCTTTTTATACATTTCCAAAGTGTAGTGAATTGAAATAATGGACATTTGTACAAAATGCAAACTTGATTCACCATTCAGGTAATCGAATTTACAGGGATTTAATTAATTTAAAGACAAATTTCATTATGAGCTAGAATCATGTAAGCAACCACAGACTATCGCTGAATAGCTTTAATGTCTTAGTTTGTGTAAACTCCTAACCTTCTAATTGGTCGAATATACGAACATCAGATGATACTTTCAATTTATGATGTTTCCTACGCCATAGGCGGTGAGTCTGATGCATCCCACCAGTTGTGTTGTTGAATTCTGTCAGTTTCTTCTCAGTTTTGCCCAATGTCATAATTGTAAGATACTGCGTGCTCTGAAAATGAATGTCCAGATTACTGTAAGCTAACATTATTCAACCAAACACCTTTACTCAGCCCTCATTATGGTTAAAGTGTCGAGGTATGGTTCATGAAAAATTACTTAGATGTAATAATTATACAACAATCTATTGAAAAACTTCTGTCTTTAATTCAGTTTAGATTTTCCTGTCGACTGATTAGACCGAAGTCCTCGGTCTCAGGTTGACATGTCGGCTTCTAGTGCAGATCGTTTGACTATGTCTGGTCATGTAACCTGAAGTCATTTGGTGGTTGGTGACTTGCAGTGGAATTCAGGATGCGCATTTTGTCCTGCATAAGAGGTGGTTCTCGTGGCCCAAGTGGTCTAGTGGATAAACGCTTTGGCGTTGAAACTACAGGCACTAGGTTCAAGCCTAGGTGGGAACATCATCGCTCACTGGGGAATGCAGCTTCATCCAGCTGATGGACGAGTCCAAACTAGGATGAAATGCTCCTTGTCCTGGATCCCAGTGCTAGTAACCATCCACCAACTGAATTTATGTTTTTCTCTAAAAACTTTCCTTAGTGAAAATTATCGATCAATGAAAGATAGCATTGAACAGTTAATATAAAACAAACCTTTACAGTAGACATCTTCACCTGACCAAGAACCATTTTCTAGGCAAACACGTTTACATCCTAAAAAATAATAATAAATATAGTAGTATTTTATAATGCTATATACTACTGATCAGTTGACATAAGTAGTTGAAAACATCTCACATCAAACAATATTAACTGTTAATCAGAATGAAGTGATGTTCCTTCGGCCAACAAGATCATTAGTAGCGTAGCAAGACGGATTTAGTTAAGAGAGTGGAATCAGTTGAAAACTGTCGAATTCCAGCTGGCCACTTGGGAACACTTATAATACATAGAATGACAAATAAAAAACTCGATTCAGTAATACTCTACCCCTGTTTTAACCAACGATGACAACAAAATAAAGGCAAGGCATGGACATAATCCTCAGACTACTGTGTATACTTGACTAAGAAATACAAAAGATGATAATAATTAAATGAAATCCGGCTGAGATTATACGTAGGCTCCTGGATACAAACATTTCCAGGTTCTGAGAATAAATAAATTATTCTCATGTATATGTCATCTTTTAATGTCAACATGATAAAACACTGTGAAAACATGTAATTTTTGCAGTGAGGGGTTGATTCACGAACGTATATCAGCGGAAAAAACACATCGTGGACCTAAGAACTCTGGACATCTGAGTCTTATGCACATAAGATTCATCGGTAGTTCTCCTTCTACAAACTTGAGACTGCGCCGAATCGGTTGGTTAGTTAGTTAAACTTCAATTTCCGAGGACAGGCTTCTTCTGTATCACACTATGAGCCACACTTGTGGTGTGCCGGATAGTTATACTATTCAGTTGATTTGACTGAAGAAGGTGGGAAGGGGTTCAAACCTTTGACTCTTCCTCTGAAGGTTTATGCCATATCTCCAGTACCTTAAATTTATGAGTCAGACATATCACCCTCTGTTGTTATAACGTCTGTATATAATTTTGGTGAATGTATCACATAATTGATATGTTTTAGGCATGGTATTGAATGTTTATATACAGTGAGGTAAATGGTTCATAAAACAATTACCACACCGATAAATGTTCGACAGCGAAAAGTTTGTGTAACCAGTAAATGTGGTCTTTGAAAATCTCCTAAGGTTTTGGTTTGGTCTCTTCAGCTTTACTCGAGATTACTTATTTATTGATATCAGATTGTATCTACCAATTTGCAGATACGTGCCAAAGTGCATACATTGGAAGAGCAGAGAGGAGGGACATTGTTCACATTTTTGAAGCCATACGAATTAATCTGCAACTAAAGAGCTCACATACACTAAACTGTGTAGTAACGTGCCATCTGTTGGACTTTCTTCATATTGTCAGCAGTTTGAAAGCGTTCAGTATAATCAGCAAGCAGAAGAAACACAGCCTGCTAACTCTTGGTGGTGTGTGCGTAGAAAGACGTTTGAATAGTATTTTTGTGGTTAAGCAACTTATTATACTAACAAACTATTTATGATTGAGCTTTGTTTCTACTCGAAGTTTCGAGCATTCTGAGCCTTCTTTTCTCTTAAGGAATATTCATCTAAATACTCTTTAAATACTGAATACTTTCAATAGAGAGATAAACTGAGTTGCTTCAATGATATGATCGATCCAGTCAGAGAAAATAATATAATTGTGCATGACTTTGAGGTGAGTTACATAGGTCAAATTATTAGATCACAGTCAAATGGATTATCGGATTACTGGAATTTACATAGATCTAGAATGATCGATCCTGCTAAGTTAAATAATGTCGAAGAAAAGCTAGGTCATTGCATTCTATTCACTTGTACGTAATCACACAATGAAATGCGACAGGGTACAAATATTAAAAAAGTAATATAATTAGGTGGGGAGAAGTTAATTACAGAATTTTAAAGTGTTAATTTGTCGCGATTTGATTGATTTCAAGTTTACTAATGGATGGATATTGGTTAGAGAACCACTGAAGACTAAGGAGTATTGGAAAGCACTTTCGTGGTGGTTCAGGATTCTTCAACAGTATTCACCTTCAGACCACGAGTAGAGTTCGTTGGCCATTCACCCACTTGAACAGAATCCAATGGACCATGACTTCTACCTTATATTAATTTGCGATTTTTAACGCCACTGTAAGCCACCTCCATCACCGAGTACTTTATATGTCACGTTCTAATTATTATCTTGGGTTTCACGATTACTCATTATCAAATCGATAGTGTGAGATGAATAATTTTGCCTTTCAAAGTTAGCACTGACAATACTGTCTAATAAGATAATCAATCCCAGCTTCAGAACACAATAACACAAAAGCATTTAACGGTAAGCATTTAAACATAATGAGTTCAGTTGGTAATCTATAAGGAACACAGTACATGTTGAAATGCAAGCATGGATTTAGATGACAATAATTGACCTGCTAGACACTGCTAATCGTGTCAAGAAAAAAAGAGTCCAGTGGAACACATGATGTATACTGTTGACTGATATCATTACTTTGAAAACAGTAACATCAATCAACATTAGGTACCAGCTAGAGAAAAATGATCTGAACATCAAATAGTCACTTTATTGATTTCATACATTTATTCCCCTTAATGAATTTGAACAAAGCAACAACTACAGTTTTAGCAGAATAAAATGGTACCATATTTTATTTCGTCGCCTTCTCTTCAGCTGCTTACAGGGCAAAAACATTATTAAATGTATCTACAAAAACAATTTTAACATACTTGCACAGAGTTCATTTTAAACAAAAATCAATCGATCAATAAATGCATACACTAATAATATATACATATATATGCAATATTAAACACAATTCCGAACAATAATAATCATACACAATGAAAACTTTTCAGTATCTCGCATTAGGATGAAAAATATCCAGTTACCAGGGCAAAGAAAGACTGATAACCGCTTCTTTCTGAACGTATAAGTCAGGTTTTAGGAGCTTGATGGAAATGGCTTCAGCAAACTGAAGGAGAATCGAGCTCTTTTCCTTATTGATAATTTTGAACGACTTTTCGACGTCCACCCCATGACCCGTGTCGAGGAGATGCCTGGCGATGGCACTGTTTAAAGTATTCCTTCCCTTTAGACGTAAGCTTTTTGGTACATGTTCAGAAAATCGTGGATATGCCCTTCTTTCTGTTCTTCCAGTGTAACTGCTCCCACATATACATGTAAATTTGTATATACAGTTGGAGTTAACATGAGAAGGATATCTATCGATTTTTGATTGCATCAAAGAGCAAGTTGTTCGAAAGACGAGAACGAGCTTAGCTGCAGGATAGGCTATGGCTAGTGATGTACTCAGCCTTCTGTTGATCATCGCTGCAATGTTTTTGCCTCTATAATCAAGCTCAAAGTAGATTGGCTTTTTTCTTACTGTGATTTGTTTTACATTTGTGACTTCAGATCTTCCATACTTGTTGATGAACCTTTGAGGGTACCCATTGCTCTTCAATGTCTTTTCAAGAAACTCAAATTCTTCCTCTAGTTTCTCCGTAGAGTATATTCTTCTTGCTCTATAGTACAGAGTACTTTACCAGTGCTCCTTTATAGCTATTTGGGCATCAGCTATTAAAATGTAAGTATTGTCGTTTCCATGTGGACTTTCGATAAATTGACTTTTGGAGACTACCATCTTCTAGGCGTTCCATGGCGATGTGGAGGAATTGAAACTTCCCGTCACTTTCATGTTCCTTAGTGAACTCCATATTGGTGTGTGCATCATTGAATAATCTGAGTAAATGTGAAGCACGACTTTCATTGTTGCACACTATAAATGTATCATCAACATATCGACAGTGAGAAGTTCTTTCGTCGATTGAATACATCAACTTTGTTCTTTCAAGGTTGGACATCAATATATCTGCTAAAATAGGGCCAAGTGGACTGTTCATAGCTGCACCATCTATTTGGCGGTAAAGCGTGTCGTCAAATTGGAATTGCACATCCATGGTACACATTAGCAGTAGGCGTTTGAATTCCGACTCTGGGAGTGGGAGAAGATCAGACTGCTGACAAATGATCTCAATAGTTTCGTTGATTGGAATCATTGTGAACAAGGAGGTTACATCAAATGACACCATGAACTTATTTAAAACGTTCATGTGGTTCATACTTTCAGAGAAATGAAATGAGTCTTTCATTGTGTGCACGCCTAGCCGTTGACGAATAGGTTCCAACTTCTCCGCAAGCCAACGTGCCACCTTATGTTGGGGCGAGTTGATCATCGAAAGTATAGGTCTCAGGGGGACTTGTTTTTTGTGTATCTTCAGAAGGCCATACATGTGTGGCAAGCAGGACCCTCGGGGCAAACTGTTGATTTAATTAACTCCAAACGACTTTCCATCTGCCATGCAGTGCCTTCATCGTCTGAGTCTACCTATCTGATATATTTCTGTTAATGTGGATGACTTTAAACTAACAAGACCAATCAGTAGTATATGTTGAGTAGTATATTTTTGTTTGACTAGCAACTGACGAAGAATGTACTCATAAGCATTGTTTGAGTTTTTCTGGTAACTGAGCTTATATAACTCCAGGCTAATAATTTAAAGGACACTAATTCCAATCAGGAAACCATCAAGCTTTTCATTATATCTTTGATGAACTCACCTATTACTGCTGTTATTATTAAAATTATTAGAGATACATTCTAGCCAAGAGCAAAACACGACATTTAAGCATTAAAGTGGAACCAAAAAAGCAGAAAATCTCACCTATACCATCTTCTGTAGACAACAGGAAGCCTGTATCACACATCACTTTATATCCTTCTGAACAGGTGATTGTTGCTTCAGACTGAAACTTTTGATCATACTTATAATGGATTCGTCCATTTGTTGGTTCGTGTATATAACCGCATGAAATACCTTTAAAATTATTTTAGATAAAATGAAAGGAAATAATAGTAGTAATAATTATTTTTTAAATATTATAAAACTTATCAGTTGTATAATCATGTTCATAGAGAGGAGTTACAGCTCATTTGGATTATGTGTTCTATGAGATGGAAGGTTTAATAGTGAACCTTTCATTGTCTTCCTAGACAACATTTTCAGAGTTAACTTAGCAACTTATTATTCCCTTGAGTTCCAAGTGGAACATAAGCCTTCAACAACACATCTCCACTTCGTTCTATTTTCTTTCAGCTGGTTGGTCCCACGATCATCCATAATCTTTCATCTCCTCCTCCTCGTCACACGATCTCCCCCATATCACCCTTGCACCAACGACCCACTCGTTGTTTCCCATTGCGATTCCACCCGGACAATGACCTCGCTAACGCGCGATTTCATCCGACGGCCTCCTCAAAGTATGTTCGATTCATCTCGATTTTCTCTTACACATTTGTTGAGTTATTGGCTCTTGGTTGGTTTGTTCCCAACCAGAGTTTCTCGTTACTAATTCTTTCTGGCCATTTGATCTTGAGTATGGAGCCGGCTGAGGTTGCAGCTGTTGATAAAAGTCTGTTGGAAGGCTTGTTGGAAATCCTTTTCGCAACACACAGTGCAAGTTTCTGACCCGTATAGAAGAACTGACTGACTGGTTTAACATTTGTGTTGAAAATATGAATCTAACAAGCTAGTTTTCTAGCTGGTTCCAAGCCTGGGTAAAGAGGGATAGTTGGGCGTGAGCCTAGCGACCTTACATCACAAAAGCTATCAGACTGCTAGAGAAACTTCGACGCATAAAAAATATATTAAAAATATAAAAACCTTCAAGTTAGCAGCCTGCTTAAATCTAATTCTCTATACATCAAAATACGTCATGTTTAACCGATACTATTTTCTTTTCTCTAATAATCCAAATACATTCAAATGAACTGTCGTCAAGATTTGACAGAATAGTTCTAAAATATTTGGCGCCGAGTGAGAAGTAGACATTTGTAAAAAATTATATTTGTAAAATCTCAGCTGATGTATAGGAAATCCTTATTAATAAATAAAAAATGGATATGTATCACTAATTATTAATACTTGGTCAAAATTCTCGACTGTCCATTTCTTCTTATGGAGACGTTAAGAAATGTTTTACAACTGTTTACCCACACACACATACACACTCTGTTTAAAGTGTTTAACAAAGGTAGACTAATATTTGTAAGTCCGAGGTCAAATTTTGATCACAGCTCATAAAATTTTGTTTATTATACTTGTTGATACTTGTTGAATGACTCATGATTGGACAAAGTTTTTAAAGACAAGTGATGTTCCTTTTATATATAAACCTCTGTTATGTTAATTTCGATTAATTTCCCTGAAGATGTTCGGACCAGATTGCCGAACGAAACGTTGGAATTACTCATTTCAATCTCGCTGAGATTTTACAAATATAATTTTTTACAAATCCAAATACATTTTTGGATGGTAATATGTAATTAGCCCTATGAAAGGAATATTCCTGTCTTTCCTTTCACAATAACATTGCTTCAAATAATATATTATTACCGTTTATCACTTTACTGAAAAATTCTACACAAGGAGTAAACATTTTGTAATAGAACATTGCTGAGGATTCTGTACTATTTACTAACTCATTTTTCATAATAAATCTATCATTCTTATCACATGAGGTGACCATCCTTCCAGGTGATCTTGATCGATTGCCTTCGAAGATTGACTTCTAATTGTATTATATCAGTCGTCTCTCTGACCTAATATGTGACCTTTTGATCGTGTGACTAATGATTTATTGACTGATAAAGTTGATCCGTATATCAACATATTAGTAATTGTTAGTTTATCCTACTAGCAGGATTCCTGGAATTCTTTGACATTCTTCGTGTTTCCCTATATCAAGATATTCATGTTTGTCAGCGTGAAACGATATGAAAAAAATCAATGTTGCATCTTTTGATTGTCGACTTATATTCATCGATGCGAAGATGAAGGAGATGTGTTTTATTCTGACCAATATCCACAAGATATACATTCAAACAAGTTCACTTTGTATTTATATTTTTTTCCAGAACTTTGAAGTTTCTGTAGCGGCTGAATAGATTTTTTGGGGTAGAGTCGTTAGTCCCACGCCCAATCTTCCATCGTTTTCCTGGCAAAGAACCGACCAGGAAACTTGGAAAATGTTTGAATGAGATTACTTCATGCAGCATCGTTTCAGTTACAGGCAGTTGATACGGAAGACGATTTCAGAGACAGGATCGGTAAAGCAACATGGACAATCAATAAAGTGAAGTCAATGTGCGAATCCACCGTACTCAGTATCAACAAAGAAATTTAGATTTTTAACTCCATTGTAAAGTCAGTTCATTTATATGGGTTACAAACTTGGCGAGTCGCAGAAAGTACTTCGAACAGGTGGCAGACTATTACCAATAGCTGCCTTCGCCTGCTGCTTAATGCAGATAAGATGGCAGACCATTAGAATTAGCAACAAGGAGTTCTAACACAGTACCACTCAAGAGCCAATAGTTCAAAAAATAATCAGAACAAATTGAAGATGTATTGAACAGATAATGAGGAAACCGTAGAGTGACATTGCACACCAGGCTGTCGATTGGAACTCGAATGGAAAATAACGACTTGCACATAGGTCCTAGTGTGACAAGAAGGAGATTGTGAGAGGAGGAGATGATAGCCTATGTACAGTCAAGAAGACAGTTCATTAAAAGAATGCAGAGAACAGAGTGAAATGCAGATGTCCTGCTGAAGCCCTATGTCCCACTAGGAACCCGTGAGAATGATGGTGATAATAATAATAGATTTTCGAACTCTGCTGCGACACAGATTCTTAATTCCTTTCCCATATTAGTTGACTTATTCATGACCATCTCACATAATCATTCTATCAACAACACATTATTAATTAATTTCAACATACTTTTAGACTTTTATCCGAAGGATACTAAAAAAATAATATTTTCAGTGTAACATCAAATTAATCTCAGATTATACTTTTACAGGCACACGCAAGCAAACTCACATAAATTGAAACGAATAGCATTAGAAAAAAGTGAGTGAGGCAGAGAGTAAATTTCTTAAGATTTTTAATCTTACTAAAAATACAAAAACAGAAAGTTCAGTTAACAATTTTTCATTGCATTTTGAAAAAACAAAACATAACAAACATACATATATCATACACATTGAACGTTGAGCATTGAACATTGAATAATGATAGTTGTTTTAATGGGGGACACGGAAACCTAACATCATCTCTGGGGAAATATGAATTCATTTTGTTCCGTGAATTAAACTCATCATCTAACTGATTTACAATCCAAAAAGACAAGAAAATATATAATATGTAAATGCCGTATGAATGAGATAGAGAGAGAGAAAGAGAATGACGAAAGATTCAACTTGATTCGTTCCTATTTTCGAATTTTCTTTTAGAATTTGAACAAGAATTTTATTGATTAGAATGTAAGATAAGATGGATGCATTTCTATTTCATAAGAAAGATACAACTTAGTACAACAAGTGAACGAAATGCTTGAGAGTGTTCTGAGAGGTTCACTTTATGTTAACAGAGTAAATGAATAAACGAATAAGTGGATGAAAGAATATGTTAAGTGAGACACGAAAAAAGTAATGAAACTTCAGCCAAGAGACGGAGAGAGAGAGGAAAACGGAAAAGTGGGACAAAATGTTTATGGAAAATCAGATTTTTATTAAATTGTTTAAACGTTAATAAAATGTTAAGTTATATTTCAAAAGTTAAGCGTAAAATAGTGAACACCATGCGAATAGCAGAGATAATGTGGCATGTGCTACTGATTCGACCTATAAGTAGTATATAAATATTGATAAAAATATGTATATCAATTGCAGGAATATCAAATGGCGAAGAGATGGATGCAATTCCATTATGGAGAAGCTTAATTTAATAAAGTCTCACAGTGTTATACCTTTAAGGATGTCTGGGAGAATATTAGCTCTTAATAAATTTAATCCTACTCCAATAATATAGTGGAGATATGTGGATGAAACTTTCAGAATGTTAAAACAGAACATATCTCTACTCTCTTCACACATTTAAACTCAGTAGTAGGTGGAATACAATTGGCATTTGAATCAGAAAATGAATAAAGAGAATTAGCTATGATATTAAATTTTAAAATAAAACGAACAGAAGAAGGTAAACTGCACACTAGCGTTTTTGAAAAGCCAACGCATTCTGTTATAAGATATTTAGACTTTATATTAGTTTGTTTATTAGATGCATCACACAGTGAAACAGTATCATTTACTGGATGACGTGTTAAACACAATTTATTCCTGTTCATAATCACATCATCAATTATAATCACACAACTTCGAAACCTGAGTTTTATAGTTTTCTTTGTTCTCTCCTATTTGTCGTCATTCGGGTGGTAGTAGAATTTTCCAGACATCCGACTGGACAGTTGTTGAATCATTCCTATTACACGTATTTGCAGTTGATTCGATACACAAACATCTGTTATCAATCTCTCCCTCCACCCTGTGACATTAGATTCTAAAACTGTCGTCGTACCCTATACTGTTGTATGGTTGTGTGTAATTGCGTGTAGTGCTATAGCCGAACTATTCTCTAGATTTCTCATATTATTCGGGTCAACCAATCTAGTTTTTGCTAGGTTTTTATGCTCGGGTAGTCTGACTGCACCTGTTCTACTACTTTGACCTATGTATTTGACCTGACAGTCATTCCGAAAGGGTATTAGATAAACTAAATTTCTTTGTTTTAAAGGCTCCAAAGGATCCTTTAACCGACAAAGGTTGTTTCTAATTGAGTTTGTGGGGAGTTTGAATGCCGAGCAATTTTATTCCTGCCTTTATTGTTAAGAATTCTGCATAAGGTTTCTGAGGTTGCTTCTTTGTATGGAATTGCTACTGATGATTTAGATTCCTTTTTGTTGGTGCTGTCA